TGCTCTACACGTTCTTACTGTTGGGCACTGGTAGGATTTGAAAACTTTTCTCCTTAGTTTTATCATTAAAAAAAAAAAAAAAACAGAAGTTCTTTTCTACCCAAATAGAATTTCTTCTAGCAGTATTGGGTAAGGATTGGCCTGCGGGCTTTAGGCTCAGAAGACCTAAGATTTGAACCCAGTTACTCACCACTCTCTGGATAAATTACTCATTTTCTTTGGGAATAATAATAATAGCAACTGCTTCAAAATGTTGTTATAGAGAATCTGTTTGGCTCATATAAAACAACCATTTATGCTCAGTACCTATTCATAGAAGTCCTCAAAATACTATTTTGATGCTATAGAATTTTGTTTTAGTTAAAGTTAGGAAATGCTAGGAAAATGAAATATCCTTTCCCAAAAGATAATTATTTGTTGGATGAAAGATAATTTTTTTTTCACTTCTCAGACCCCACAATAGTGTGCTCACTAATAAACTCAAGCATTTTACTCTTCCAGTTTTCCTTTCTGCATATGAAAGCTTCTTTTACAGTTACAAAAATATGAAATTATAGGTCATTAAGAGAAACTAAAATGCAAAGAAACTGAAAGTTATTCAAGCAAGTAAAAGCCTTTCTCAACTGAAAATCGGATATTAAAGTTATTTTCCCCCAACTTATAATGCAATTCAGTTACAGGATAAATATCACAAAATACAACTGGTTTGTCTTTAATCTGAAAATACATGTATTACATATGTTTGTCATTTATCCAAAATATTTCTATCTTTTTTTTTGAGACAGACTCCCACTTTAACACCGTGGCTGGAGTGCTGTGGCTCCATCTCAGTTCACTACAACCTCCACCTACCAAATTCAAGTGATTTTTGTGCCTCAGCCTTTCAAATAACTGGGACTATAGGCACGTGCCACCAAACCTAGCTAATGTTTGTATTTTTAGTAGAGATGGGGTTTCACCATGTTGGGCATGCTGATTTCAAACTCCTGACCTCAGATGATACACCTGCGTCGTCCTCCCAAAGTGCTGGGATTATAAGCATGAGCCACTGCACCCAGCAAAATATTTCTTTTTTAATGGTATTCATTTGATATTTTAAGACCACATAATATGGAAAATACACTTATAGTACTAGGTGACAATATCCCTTTACACAGCTATATGTTCTAGATTTTGTTTTAATATTTAAGGTGAAAATAAAATATTTCAAAGAAATACACCATTAAGTTAAGGGGTTGTTAAAAAATCAGCCTTGACTCATTTTAATACTTTATTTCTACTTTTTTATTCTAGAGAAGTTATATTATTTAATATCACACAACTAGTAAGTGACTAAACTGTCATTAGACCTCAACACCTGACTAACCTCACTTTAAATCCCATACTTTTAACCACCACAGTATTTAATAATATTTATAGGCTGGGCGCGGTGGATCACGAGATCAAGAGATCGAGACCATCCTGGTCATCGTGGTGAAACCCCGCCTCTACTAAAAATACAAAAAATTAGCTGGGCATGGTGGCACGTGCCTGTAATCCCAGCTACTCAGGAGGCTGAGGCAGGAGAATTGCCTGAACCCAGGAGCGGAGGTTGCGGTGAGCCGAGATCACACCATTGCACTCTAGCCTGGGTAACAAGAGCGAAATTCCGTCTCAAAAAATATATATATATATTTATAATCTCTCCAAGATTGCACTTCTGAAAAGTACTCTGATTAGTGAAACTAACGGGTCTCAGAAATAAAGCCTTAGTGAAAAACATAAAAGTGTATTAAATATATATGTATGTTTAAAAAGACGTAAGCCAAATTTGTAGATGGTGTCTGTCTACAAAAGCAAAGCAGTGTTCAGTATTTAAAACTTTTTTCATATACTTTCTTCAGGAAAATGCTGCAGAGTCATAATCTGTTGCAGGTGGTTCACCCACACATCCTATTTTATTGCCTTTAGCTGGTTACAAACCAAACTGATTTTATAACCTCCAAAAAACTGCAACTTGCAGTTTGCAATAGATCTGTCCACTTGTTCTCTGGATGTAGGTGACTAGTAATTATTATGCTCTTTGTTTAAAGGTCTTATATGGAAAACACCTTTCTAAGAAATGGTATGGTTCTAAAGTTTCTGGTTGATAAAACTAAGACTTGAGGGAATTTCTTAACATTGTGTGCCTCTATTAAACTGAAGCCTTGAGAAGACAGGGGTTATTCATGTATCACTGTGTCACCATGCCTCTCTCACAATGAATCCTCAGTAAATACTTGATGAATAAATGGTTTGATTGAGAATAATACAGTACCATCGTTTGAATCTTTTGTTGTGGGGAGGATTCTGGAAAGTATTTCTAAGACAATTCTTATTTATAATTAATTTATAGAGAAATAATTTCATGACGGAAAAGATAATGGACTTTTTTGGGCTTTTATCCCAATATTCTTATTAACTGTTAACTTGGGGATTTTTTATTTTTGCTTTATTATTATTTGGCAAAGGATCCCAAAACATTGGCTTTATATATTTGTCTCTGTTTAAGCAAAATTATTTAATTTAGTATTATCATACAGTTAATTTTTGTATTATCATTCAGTTAATCTATTATTCAAAGGAAGGAAAATTTTACTGCAAGAACTTGACATTTAATGGATTCCTAAAACTAATTGGCTTATTTTATTTTTCCATGTTTAAACTGAAATGTTCATGTATTGATTTTTATGAAAAAAAATCTTTAATATTATAGTATTCCATGGGCCCAATAGTCAAGTTCTCTTTGGCTTTTCAGAAACAGTAATAGGTTTACGTATAACAACCACTCAGACAAATCCACAGAAACAGAAAATTCTCTAATATGGGGTACCAGAGGTATTGGGACATATCCCACATCAGTAGTTTCTCAGGACTTCTCTTTCATGTTATGAAGAGATTTTTAAAATTTTATCTCTCATAATACTTTTAAAATCTCTTCTTAAAATAATACCTAATAAAATATCCCATCTTCAGCATTTTGATTCCTTATCTCTAATCATTTCTCCAGTTTTTGTTTATGTGGTGTTTTTGCTGGGAGAAGAGGGGTACAAATGAAAAAGTATCATCTCTGCAGTGGGAATAGTCATTTAACACTGCCTCTACTGACACTCTCTTTCAACAGTGGAATTGGTATCAGCAACGAGATCCTTAATAAATTTCATCCCAGTGTGATGAAATCCATGTAAGCCCCAGATAACACAGTCCCAACAAACAAGAATAAAGAAGAAATAATGCTAAAACACACATTTTGTTTTCTCTGACCCAACCCGAGACACTGGACATCACTGTAAAAATGTTGTCCCATTTTATTCCTTCTCCACTCTCCAAAGGAATTTATATGGAGAGTGAGGGATAATGTTTTGTTTACTTTGGGGGAAAGTTTTGCTGAAAATTGAAGGAATAACCTGAAGTGAGTTAAGGAAAATTAAATTGTAATTTCTTCTCACTAAGAACTATAAATAAATCCTTTTCCCTTTTTTCACATCTCAAAAAACATATACCCTTTTTCTTTTTGCTTGAGATGGAGTTTTGCTCTTTCACCCAGGCTGGAGTGCAGTGGAGTAACCTTGGCTCACTGCAACCTCCACCTCCTGGGTTCAAGAGATTCTTCTGCCTCAGCCTCCCCACTAGCTGGGACCACAGGCACCTGCCATCACACTCCAACTAATTTTTGTATTTTTAGTAGAGATAGGGTTTCACCATGTTGGCCAGGCTGGTCTCCCAGCCCATAATCATACACTTTTTTTTTTAAGTATATGTGCTTTTTTTTCAGAAGCCAGCACAATCAAATACATGTTTTAAGGTAAACTTTGTCATTAGAGAAAATAGTTGTCTTTAAAAGTGTTTTATTGTAGAGAATTCATGATAATTATATTAGTGGAACTCTATTTGCATGAGCTGTTTCATACAGAATTGTCATATAATTAAATTTCTTAGCAATAGTACTGTTCAATACTTACTGTATTCTGTAAGCACTGTAAATTTATCATCTCATTTAAGTCTTTCAACAATGGTTTAAGGTAGGCCTATAAATAATAAGTAATTACCTAAGACTGCAGCTAATAAGTGTCAAGACCATATTGAAATCCAAATCTTTCTGTCTCCAAACCATATTCTTCACTGTAGTAGTCTGTTGCCTCTCAGGAGACAGTATATTGCTTATGATGTGTTAGGAAGCAGGTGTAATCCACTCTGTAATTTAGTCTGTGATAGTAAGTAAATGTTCTAGATAATTGGAATTTAAGCATCAAAACATTTCTTTATCACTAGAGGCATCTCTTTTTTTAGTTAATTTATCGTTGTTGTCATGGAGTTTCCTTCAATGAATTATCATTGGAGTGTAGTATTTTTTGCTTGTATACAAAATGACTCCAATTTCCATGCCTTTTGCATCTCATTTTTAATGTGTTTTAATACAGTTTCTTCACAAAGGCATTTTCTGATACTGCCTCAAGCAGCACTTCACATTTACCTTTTGATTTGCTGCTTTAAATTTATGACTGTTCAGAAAACCGGATATGTTATTAAGATCATAGTAAGAGTGGATTCAATAAGCTGTGATGGAAAATTGACGGACTTATTGTCAGTTTATCGTTTTTACAAACAGCTTTGTAAGCCTCTCTCAATTTGATTGCCAGATAAATGACCTCTATGTAAATATGACATTGTATTTTTTTTAATTCTAACAAGCAAATGCTAATATTACTCCATTAATTATTTCTAATTTTAAATTTGTTTTTTATTCAGCTTATAAGGATAAGGTGCTTCATAATTTTCAGTTAAAAACAGTTGAATTATTTACCTTAGAGATAAATAAATAAGTTTAGTTTCCCTACTAGTTATCTTAATTGAGCTACTTTCTCTTAATATTTAAATAATAAAAAGGAAAAAAAAGCCTTACATATGTGTTTGCATCATGTTTTTGTCTTAACTGTGCACCTATTAATTCTGCCTTTGTAATTGTTCTCTTCCACTATTAGGTTTTAACCAAAGAATTTTATAGTCTCCAGGCCTCTTCTGAAAAACGCATTACTGAACTTCAAGCACAGAACTCAGAGCATCAAGCAAGGCTAGACATTTATGAGAAATTGGAAAAAGAACTTGATGAAATAATAATGCAGACTGCAGAAAGTAAGTCTCCCCACACACACATGCACAACGCTTATTTTTCTGGCAACAAAAGAAGCCTGACATTATTTCTGAAACTACCTTGGGACCAGGCACAGTGGCTCATGCCTGTAATTGTAGCACTTTGGGAGGCCAAGGTGGGCGAATCACTTGAGATCAGGAGTTCAAGACCAGCCTGGCCAACATGATGAAACCCTGTCTCTACTAAAAAATTAAAAAAAAAAAAAAAAAAAAAAACTAGCTAGCTAGCTATGATGTCAGGTGCCTGTAATCCCAGCTACTCCAGAAGCTGATGCAGGAGAATTGCTTGAACCTGGGAGGCAGAGGTTGCATTGAGCCTAAATCATGCCACTGCACTCCAGCCCAGCCAACAGAGCAAGACTCTGTCTCAAAAATAGAAAAGAAAAGAAAAAGAATAAAACTACTTTGGTATATTTTGTTAAAATATAATTGGTGACCATTTCTAAATAAAAGTCTATATTTCAAATATTAGTTCATCTCTTCGTCACAGAAATCGAAGTCAAAAAAGGAACAGGTTAAATATGATAGCTTTTTTTTTTATTTTTTATCTAATTCACTTATTCCACAATTATTAAGTATTTACATCTGTCAGGAACTGAGGATTAGGAGTTCATGGAAATAATTCCTACCTCAAGGTGTTTCTAGTCTAATCTACTGGGAGAGATGAACATAATAACAAATAATTAGAGTAGCAAGATAAGATAAATGCTATAAGCATCATTTAGTATCAGTGGAAATACAAAAGAGATCATTAATTAATCCCACCTTGGAGGCAAGGAATATCTAAGAGGGGAGATGACACTGGAATGAGTCTTATTTTTGAGGGGGAATGGGGATGGACTTTTGTTCTTTTTGCCCAGGCTGGAATTCAGTGACACTATCTCGGGCTCACCACAACCTCCGCCTTCCGGGTTCAAGTGATTCTCCTGCCTCAGCCTCCCAAGTAGCTGGGATTACAGGCATGCATCACCACTCTCAGCTAATTTTGTATTTTTGGTAGAGATGTGGTTTCTCCATGTTGGTCAGGCTGATCTCGAACTTCAGACCTCAGGTGATCCACTTGTCTCACCCTAAAATGCTGGGATTGCAGGTGTGAGCCACTGTTCCCAGCCTTGGAATGAGTCTTGACATACAAATAGAAATTCATTTGATATCTTGTATTATAACTTTTGATCTTTAATTTCTATCTTTTTTTCTTTTTTTCCCTCTTGTTATGTTATCTTCCTGTCTTATCCCTAACATTAATAAATATTTTAAATTAACATTGGCTGTGATGTTTGCTACAGTACATTTTTTGTGTTCAAAAGTCATATAACCATGGCATTCTTATAAAAATGGGTTTAAACTTCAGTTGAGGTTGAATTTGAATCTAGGTAGGGTTCTAATTATTTTAGGTACATTTTCACATAAGGATTCTATTTTATTTGCAGGGCAGTGTAAGAAAAACTTTTATTTCTTTCCTATCATTGTCTTATTTCCCATTTCTAAGGTCAGTGTCGGATGACTGCAATACTTTTTAAATTTATCTTCAGTTTCTTCACCGGAGTCAAAGTAATCTTTGTAAAATTCAAATTTTCCTTTCATATGCCTGCTTTAATGACTTTTATTGTCTTCATTAAAACAATAAAGTCAAATTTTTTACATGAATTATTAGATTAGACTCATGTTTATCTTCCTACTTTTCATATCTTGCCATTTTCCTCCATGTCTGATTATTGTTTTGACAGTTTTATACTCTTTCTCCATAACTTTGCATATGTCCTTTTGTCTAAACAAATTAGGAATAGAAGGGAACTTCCTCTATCTGAAAAAGGGCATTTACAAAACCAACAGCTAAAATTGTACTTGATGGTGAAATATTGAATACTTTTCCCATAAAGGGGGAGAGTAAGACAAGGATTCGTATTTTCATGATTTATATGACATATTAAGCACTGTATTTGAATTCCTAACCTGTGAGATAGGATGAGAGAAGATATAAAATATATAAAAATCAGAAAGGATTAATAATGTATTTTCAGATTAGAAAACAAACACTAAAACTGAAAAGTGAATATAACAGGACATAAAGTCATTACCCAAAATATACTAGAAGTGAACAATTAGAGAAGTAAGTAGCATCAAAAAAGACAAATACTTAGGAATAAATTTAAGCCAAAAAAACCCTAGAGAACATTGCTAAGGTAAATTAAAGGAACCCCCTTCCCTCCAAAAATCACGAAATATATTGTGAATTCTATCAGTTCAGTGTTCTTTCAGTCATAATGGCAGCAGGCTTTTTTGCATTTCATTCATGTGGAATGCAAAGGACTAGAATATCCAAAGCAATCTTGAAAAAACTTGAAGCCTCGTGTGGTGGTGCACTCCTATACCCCCAGCTACTTGGGGGGCTGAGGCAGGAGGATTGCTTGAGCTTAGAGGTTAAAAGGTTAAAGCCTGTTGGGTGCTATGATCATCCCTGTGAATACCCATTGGACTCCAGTGAGGGAAACATAGTGTGACCTTTTCTTCCCCACAAAATAAGAAGAAATTGGAAGATTTGCATTATCTGTTTTCAAGACTTACTATAAAGCTTCAGTGTCAGGCTAATATAGTACTGGCATAAGGAAAGACAAATACAGAAATGAAACAGACTAGAAAACCCAAAAATAGATCCATACTTAAATAGCAATTTCATTTTTGACAAAGGCAACAAAGCAAACAAATGGGGAAGGGAAAGTTTGTTTAGTAAATGGTGCTAAAATATTGGACATCTTGGCCAGGCGCGGTGGCTCACGCCTGTAATCCCAGCACTTTGGGAGGCCAAGGTGGGTGGATCATGAGGTCAACAGATCGAGACCATCCTGGTCAACATAGTGAAACCCCGTCTCTACTAAAAATACAAAAAATTAGCTGGGCATGGTGGCGCGTGCCTGTAATCCCAGCTACTCGGGAGGCTGAGGCAGGAGAATTGCCTGAACCCAGGAGGCGGAGGTTGCGGTGAGCCAAGATCGCGCCATTGCACTCCAGCCTGGGTAACAAGAGGGAAACTCCGTCTCAAAAAAAAAAAATTGGACATCTTTATGGAAATAAACTTCCATATACCAATATTAATCTGAGATGATACCTAAATGGAATAGCTAAACTATAAATATGTAACAAAAAAATAGGTGAGTATCTTTGCAACTTGGGATACTTAAGACTTTTATGACATGGCCCTTGAAAGTAATTATCTTAAAAGAAAAACTGATAAAGTAGATGTCATCAAAATTTAAAACTTCGATTCTTCAACAGACACCATTAAGAAACAGCCAAGCCACAGACTCAAATAACCACAATTTTATATCTGACAAAGAAATGGTATCCAAAATAAGAAAACATTGAGGAGAAAATATTCACAAAACATAGATTAGACAAAAAAATTATATCCAAGTATGGTGGGCTGAAAAACACCCTTCTAGAGATGTTCGTGTCCTCTTGGGCATTGTGGCTCATTCCTGTAATTCCGGGACTTTGGGAGGCCAAGGCAAGTGGATCACTTGAGCTCAGGAGTTTAAGACCAGCCTGGACAACATGGTGAGACTCCGTCTCTAAAAATAAATAAATAAATATGTCCATGTCCTATTCTTTGGAACCTCTGAAAGCTGGAAAAGTCAGGGAAACAGATTTTACCACAGAGCCTCCAGATAGAACCAGCCCTACAAAGCACTGACTTCAGACCAGTGACACTTGATTTTTGGAATTATGACCTCTAGAACTATAAAATAATAAGTTTATATTGTTTAAAACATAAAGTCTGGCAGTCTGTTACAGTACCAGTAGGAAGTTAATATACCAAAATATATATTTAAAAATTCATATAACTCAGTGATAAAAAAAAAAGCCATTTAAAACATGGGCAAAAAGTTTAAACAAACACTTCACAAAGGAAGATATGTGAATGGCAAATAAGCGTAATAAAAGTATTCAACATTACTAGTCATGAGGGAAAAGCAGATTAAAAGCCCAGTGAGATACCACGGTATACCCACAAGAATGGCTAAAATTAGAAAGACTGTACCAAATGTTGGTGAGAAGTGGAGCAACTGGCAATTTCTTACAAGATGATCAACAGTCTAATCCATGATCCAGCAGTTCCCTTGCTTACCCAAGAGAGAAGAAAGCATATGCACCTAAAAATATTTCTACTAGAATGTTCATAGGAAATTTACTGGTAACAGCCAAAAACTGACAACAGCCAAGGTGTTTATCTCAAAGGAAAATGGCTAATCAAACCATTATGCATTCATGTAGTAGAATGAATTCTCTCCTCACTTAAAAGTCACAAACAGTTGACTTACTCAACAACATGGAGGAATCTGAAAAACATACTTAGTCTAAGAAGTCTTTCTGGAAAAAGTTCATACTATGTAATTAAATTGATACTAAGTTCTTGAAGAGGCAGAAGTAATCTATGATGAAAAAAATCAAGGGGTAGAGGATAAAAAAAAAGTGTTTTAAGTATTTTAAAAAGAAAATCACAACTGTAGTTGTCTCTGAAAGATGATTGTCACCAAGAATTAACTGAGAAAAGTGACATGATGGAACTTTGCAGGGTGTTCAAATGTTCTGTATATGTTGACAAGGTTTGTGCAACACGTGTGTATACATTTCAAAACTTGTTGAATGATAGACTTAAAAAGTAAAAATAAAATTTATACATGATGACAGTTACAAATCTTATTTTTAGAAAAGAACTGAATAAATACTAAACTGTAATTGATGATTTGCATGTTAAACTGTTGAGGAGTGAAGTGTGCAAATGTCCGAAACATTCTTTGAAATGCATTTAAAAAAACAGATTCATGGAAACAGGGATGAATATGTGTGTAATAAACACATAGTACAATGTTCGATTTAGAATCCAGATGTCGGAGCCAGGCACAGTGGCTCAAACCTTTAACTCCAGCACTTTGGGAGGCCAAGGCAAGACAATTGCTTCAGCCCAGAAGTTTAAGGCTAGCCTGGGCAACATGGCAAGACCCCCTCTCTAGAAAAAATTAAAAAATGAACCAGGCCTGGTGGTGCCAGCTACATCGGAGGGTGAGGCAGAAGGATCGCCTGAGCCCTGAGCATCAAGGCTGCAGTGACTGTTCATGCCACTGCACTCCAGCCTGGGCAACAGATTGAGACCTTGTCTCAAAAAAAAAATTCCAGATGTTGAGTATAGGGATGTATACTGTACAGGTTTTTCAGTGTGTCCATGTGTGTAAATGATTTCTTAAAAGCATTGGAAAAAAATACAGAAATTAACTTTTGTTCTGTCTAAACCAACTTCAAATAAAATAGACGTACTGTAAGATCAATAACTTCCAGTTCTCTGTCCATTCACTTTGGAAATTAGAATACATCTTATCTTTATTTAATGAATACTTACTGATTAACTAAAATTTCAAAGAAATGAGCACAGACTTTTTTATTACTGCATTGTTTACAATTTTCAAAGGCTTGCCATTTAATTGAGAATTTCAGCTGACATGAAGACTGTTAGGCTTCATTTATTAAGGTGTAACCACAGCAAATTTTCCTATTTATACTTGTATTGCTTTCTGTAATAAAATAAGTATTATTTGGATATTTGAGGAATTTAGCTTTCAAAGATTGCAAGTTGTTGAAAGTACATGTATTGCCGACAAACTAAATAAACTCAAATTAGAAAAAAAAAAAACACCTACATTTCTAATTGTTAAATTCAGTTACCTGCTGCACATCCTCATCCTACTTAAAACGTCCACTAGGCATTTGTCTAATTTCTCAGAATTCTCTTCTCTTTGCTTCTTGAATCATTTGCCTTTGATTGTTTATTTTCCATCACTTAACTATTTTCTGGATAATCTTACCCCTTTCCACAACTTCAGTTACTATCAATAGGCTAAATTTCTGTAGTTAGAGACAGGATCTCACACTGTTGCCCAGGCTAGAGCACAGTGGTGCGATCATAGCTCACTGTAGTCTCAAACTCCTGGGCTCAAGTGATCCTCCTGCCCAGCCTCCCAGGTAACTGGGACTACAGGCACATTCCATTGTGCCTAATAACTTTTTATAGAGACAGGGTCCCACTGTATTGCCCAGACTGGTCCCAAACTCCTGGCCTCAAGGAATCCTCCTGCCTTGGCCTCCCAAAATGCTAGGATTATAGGTATGAGCCACCATGCACAGCTGAAAATTTAACATTATTTGCATTTTCTCTTTCTTCCCTGAAACTTACTAATTTTCCTGTATAAGTTGCTCAGTGTATTAGCAGATTCTGCATCTCAGATTTAATCAACTATGGATTGAAAATATTGGGGAAAAAACAATTTTAAAAGTACATCTTTTTAATATAGCATAACAACTATATATATTAGTATGTACATAATGTTAGGTATTACAAGTGATCCAGACATGTTTAAAATATATGGGAAGGTGTATATATGTTATATACAGATACACACCGTTTTATATACAGGCTTAATTGTCTGTGGAGTTTGGTATCCTCAGAGTTCCTGGAACCAGTCCCCCAGGGATACCAAAGGATGAGCAACTGTGGTTTTCTAGTAAACTTTAACCACTCTACTAGCTTTCATCAACCTTTATTCCTCCTTCATTCTATCATGAGTGCCTCAGCTCACTCCCACACCTGCTCAATTGTCTAGAATCCAAGCTCTCTTCTCCACTGCTGTTATGGACTAGGTCTCAAATATTATTATTATAACTTGTTAGGAATTCTCTGGGCCACTATTCTAAGCCATCCTCTTTCCCATTATTGGAATGTTTTAAATAACATCTGCATCAATAACAAAAATCAATTGGTCATGTATTATAGTTTCTTATTGACTGTAGAATAAAATCTACTTAGCCTGGCAAACAAGACTTTACTATCATTCACTGTTGAAACTAAGTCTACCTTTCTGCTACCACCATTCTCCAGACCAAATTCAGCCACTTTCCTCACAATAACTAAAACTTCACATACCTTACAAGTCCGTGCTTCTGCACTTGCACTTCTCTTCTGTTCCTTCTCTGAATCTCGATCTCCTCACACCTACCTTATACCTTGTGCCATGGGAAATAGTGGCACTCAGATGTAGTTGCTCTGTGCTCTGCTTCTAAGACACTTGTTCAGATCTCTTTAGTAGCATTTACCACGTTGTATAATACATTGTTTCCATAATTAATCCCTGCTAGAATAGTTATCCCATGATTTATTAATCCATTAAGTATTAAACTCATACTTAGCATGTCTATTAATATCTAATCAATGGATTTTTGAGATGTCAACTACATTTACCCCTCTATCCCCTGAATTTAGAACTATTAAGGGGAGACAAGCGTCAGTTACATATCTAAATGTTAGCTCTAGTTCTAGTAGAGCTGATTTGGAGAACTCATCTTGGATCTGAACTTATCTGATAGCTGATCATAGTATTGGTAATGACATGCATTCATCTCTTCCATATGTCTCTCACGACTAATAATTCTTCCTCAGAAAGGTAACCCTGATTCACCTTGAAAGATAGGAAAGCAGTTAATGAATGTTTCTAAAATCTTTACTACAGAAGGGCCAATCAACAAATGTATGCATATTACATTGATAGTCATGCAGATAATGAAACATCATTATGGTTGTAAAATATGTGGCTTTGTTTTAATTCTGAAATATTCCTGAAAGTGATTTATCTTTTTAACATTTAAATAATGGTTGCTGATAAATAATATTATTAAAGTTTTTATATGTCATTGCTTTAACAATGTATTAAAACTGCGCCCTTTGATGAAATACTTTTTTTGGTTTTTGAGATTTTTTTTTTTTTTATGATGAAGTATTTTTTAGCTGGACGCAGTAGCTCACACCTGTAATCCCAGCACTTTGGGAGGCCAAGGCGGGCAGATCACCTGGAGTCAGGAGTTCCAGACCAGCCTGGCCAACATGACAAAACCCTGTCTCTACTAAAAATACAAAAAAAATTAGCTGGGCTTGGTGGCAGACACCTGTAATCCCAGATACTGAGGCTGGGGCAGGGGAGTCGATTGAACCTGTGAGGCGAGAGGTTGTGCATCATTGCATTCCAGCCTGGGCAACAAGTGTGAAATTCTGGCTAAAAAAAATACATGTTTTTTTAATCCCAACTGGCAGTAAAATGTCATTGCATTTCAATTTTTTACCTAGAAGATGTTAACCTGTTAGTTAAAATTCCTTTTTTGGAAGTGGTGTGACAATAGCAGAATTTAAAAGTAAATTATTTTCACAGAATTTTTTTTCATTGAAAAGAAACCGAGGCCATCAATACATGCTTAGAGCTGCACGTTTTTTGTTGTTGTTGTTGTTGTTGGTTTTTTTTAGTTGTACTTTAGGTTCTGGGGTACATGAGCAGATCAAGCACAATCATTGCATAGGTAAATACATGACAAGTTGGTTTGCTGCCTCCATCCCCCCGTCACCTATATCTGGCATCCATCCCCAACCTCCTCACTCCCCACTATCCCTCCCCTAGTCTTCCCCAACAGACCCCAGTATGTAATGCTCCCCTCCCTGTTTCCATGTGTTCTCATTGTTCAACACCTGCCTATGAGTGAAAACATGCAGTGTTTGATTTTCTGTTCTTGTGTCACTTTGCGCAGAGTGATGATTTCCAGATTTATTCATGTCCCTACAAAGGACACAAACTCATCATTTTTTATGGCTGCATAGTATTCCATGGTGTATATATGCAACATTTTCCTTGTCCAGTCTATCATTGATAGGCATTTGGGTTGGTTCCAGGTCTTTGCTATTGTAAACAGTGCCACAGTGAACTTACGTGTGCATATCTCTTTATAATAGAATGATTTATAATCCCTTTGGTATATACGTAGTAATGGGATTGCTGGGTCAAATGGAATTTCTATTTCTAGATCCTTGAGGAATCACCACATTGTCTTCCACAATGGTTGAACTGATTTACACTCCTCCCAGCAGTGTAAAAGTGTTCTTATTTCTCCACATCCTCTCTAGCATCTGTTTTCTCCAGATTTTTTTATGATCGCCATTCTAACTGGTGTGAGATGGTATCTCAATGTGGTTTTGATTTACATTTCTCTGATGACCAGTGATGATGAGCATTTTTTCATATGTTTTTTGGCCTTATGTATGTCTTCTTTTGGGTTTATTTTTTTTTTCTTGTAAATCTGTTTTAGTTCTTTAGAGAGTCTGGATATTAACCCTTTGTCAGATGGGTAGGTTGCAAAAATTTTTCCCCATTCTGTTGGTTGCCGGTTCACTCTAATTATTGTTTGTTTTGCTGTACAGAAGCTCTGGAGTTCAATTAGATCACATTTGTCTATTTTGGCTTTTTTTGCTGTTGCTTTTGGTGTTTTAGTCATGAAGTCCTTGCCTATGCCTATGTCCTGAATGGTTTTGCCTAGGTTTTCTTCTAAGGTTTTTATGGTGTTAGGTCTTATGTTTAAGTCTTTAATCCATCTGGAGTTAATTTTAGTGTAAGGTGTCAGGAAGGGGTCCAGTTTCTGCTTTCTGCACATGGCTAGCCAGTTTTCCCAACACCATTTATTAAACAGGGAATCCTTTCCCCATGCTTGTTTTTGTCAGGTTTGTCAAAGATCCAGCAGTTCTAGATGTGTGGCATAGTCTCCAAGGCCTCTGTTCTGTTCCATTGGTCTATATCTCTGTTTTGGTACCAGTACCATGCTGTTTTGATTACTGTAGCCTTGTAGTATACTTTGAAGTTAGGTAGTGTGATGCCTCCAGCTTTGTTCTTTTTGCTTAGAATTGTCTTGGCTATATGGGCTCTCTTTTGGTTCTATATGAAGTTTAAGGTGGTTTTTTTCCCGTTCTGTCAAGAAGGTCATTGGTAGCTTGATGGGGATAGTATTGAATCTACAAATTACTTTGGGCAGTATGGCCATTTTCACAATATTGATTCTTCCTAACTAGAAGCATGGAATGTTTTTCCATCTGTTTGTGTCTTCTCTGATTTCGTTGAGCAGTGGTTTGTAGTTCTCCTTGAAGAGATCCTTTACATCATTTGTAGTTGTATTCCTAGGTGTTTTATTTTCTTTGTAGCAATTGCAAATGGGAGTTTGCTCTTGATTTGGCTCTTTTTAAGTCTGTTATTGGTGTATAGGAATGCTTGTGATTTTTGCACATTGATTTTGTATCTCTAGACTTTGCTGAAGTTGCTTATCAGTTTCAGGAGATTTTGGGCTGCGACAATGGGGTCCTCTAAATATACAGTTGTGTCCTCTGCAAATAGAGACAATTTGACTTCCTCCTTTCCTAATTGAGCGCACAGTTTTTAACAGAGTAACATACATAAGTACATAATTTTATTGTTGCAAATCAAAATAAAGTTGTTCTGATAAAATAATGAATATTTGAAATAATGTCAGCCCAGAGAATTGAGCAGCTGTACTGAGTGGCGCGGTGGTCTAGGCACTTCTTGGACAGTATATCTCACCTGCCGGTGAAACTCCAGTGTAAGAAGATTAAGAAGCGGAACCTAAAGTTGCAGCAGCGGAACCTAAAGTTGCAGGCCTCAAATCTGACTATCAGAAACTGAAAATGGAGATGTGTCTGAAGAAGCAATGGGAGGTAGAAAAGTTAAAAAAATCAAAACATTCTATGAATATGGGCCTGTCAGAAGCTCAACATGGAGATGTGTCTCAAGAAGCAGTGGAAAATATAAAAGTTAAAAAATCTCCCCAGAAATCCACCGTATTTACCAGTGGAGAAGCAAAAATGCAGTCTCCCAATTCAGAATCAAAAAAGAAAAAGAGAAAAATGGTGAATGAAGCTGGGCCTAATACAAAAAAAGCAAAAACCGAAAACAAAGGGGAATCTGAAGGAGAAAGTGCCGAGACTCCTAAAGAAACAGAAAATAATGTAGAAAAGCAAGGTAATGATGAAGATGACAGTGAGGTGCCCAGCCTGTCCATGAGACTGACTAGAGCTTTTCAGGATACTTTATTTGCTTCTCTATGTAATCTTGTCAATGAAAACACTCTGAAGGCAGCAAAAGAAATGGGTTTCACAAACATGACTGCAATTCAACAAAAGTAACAAACCACTTCTGGTAGGCAGGGCTCTTCTAGCAGCTGCAAACATAGGCAGTGGTAAAACCCTGGCTTTTCTCATCCCTGCAGTTGAACTCATTGTTAAGTTAAAGTTCATGCCCAGAAATGGAATGGGAGTCCTTATTCTCTCACCTGCTAGAGAACTAGCCGTGCAAACTTTTGGTGTCCTTAAGGAGCTAATGACTCACCACGTGCCTACCTATGGGTTGATAATGGGTGGCAGTAACAGATCTGCTGAAGCACAGAAACTTGATAATGGGATCAACATCATTGTGGCCACACCAGGCCGTCTGTTGGACCATATGCAGAATATCCCAGGGTTCATGTATAACAACCTGCAGTGTCTGGATATTGATGAAGCTGATCGTATCTTGGATGTTGGATTTGAAGAGGAATTAAAGCAAATTATTAAACTTTTGCCAACATGTAGACAGACTATGCTCTTTTCTGCCACCCAAACTCGAAAAGTTGAAGACCTGGCAAGGATTTCTCTGAAAAAGGAGCCATTGTATGTTGGTGTTGTTGATGATAAAGCTTATGCAACAGTGGATGGTCTTGAGCAGGGATATGTTTTTTGTCCTTCTGCAAAGAGATTCCTTCTGCTCTTTACATTCCTGAAGAAGAACCGAAAGAAGAAGCTCATGGTCTTCTTTTCATCTTGTATGTCTGTGAAATACCACTATGAGTTGCTGAACTACATTGATTTGCCCGTCTTGGCCATTCATGGAAAGCAAAAGCAAAATAAACATATAACCGCATTCTTCCAGTTCTGCAATACAGACTCTGGAACACTATTATATACAGATGCGGCAGCAAGAGGACTGGACATTCCTGAAGTTGACTGGATTGTTCAGCATGACCCCCCTGCCGTTGACCCTAAGGAATGTATTCATCGTGTGGGTAGAACAGCCAGAGGCCTAAATTGGAGAGGGCATGCCTTGCTCATTTCGTACCCAGAAGAATTGGGTTTTCTTCACTATTTGAAACAATCCAAGGTTCCATTAAGTGAATTTGACTTCTTCTGGTCTAAAATTTCTGACATTCAGTCTCACCTTAAACTTCATATGGAACCAAAAGAGAGCCCATATAGCCAAGACAATTCTAAGCAAAAAGAATAAAGCTGGAGGGAGGCATCACACTACCTAACTTCAAAGTATACTACAAGGCTACAGTAATCAAAACAGCATGGTACTGGTACCAAAACAGAGATATAGACCAATGGAACAGAACAGAGGCCTTGGAGACTATGCCACACATCTACAACCGTCGGATCTTTGACAAACCTGACAAAAACAAGCATGGGGAAAGGATTCCCTGTTTAATAAATGGTGTTGGGAAAACTGGCTAGCCATGTGCAGAAAGCAGAAACTGGACCCCTTCCTGACACCTTACACTAAAATTAACTCCAGATGGATTAAAGACATAAACATAAGACCGAACACTATAAAAACCTTAGAAGTCCAAAATCTTTAAACACATTAGCAAGAAGTCATCCGACAGCAGGCAGTTCTCTCACTGAAGACATGCTTTTCTTTCATCCTGAATAACTTTGTCCTAAAGTGAATGTTTTCCCCCTTGATTTAACAGACTTTTTGTAGGCTTTAGAATTTGGACTTATCTAACAAGAGTGTAAATTGACTTAAGTTGCGAGCACTGAGCACTATTACTTCTATCAAGTCTCTCTTTTATTTTTGAGATCTAAAACAGGCTTTATTTTCTTGGTTGCCCAAGGACAGAGCAAGAAATATCTGGTCTTTCTTTCGATTATATATTTTAATTTTAAATATCCCTCCCTCAAACCCACAAATGTATGTTACTCTTTTAATACTTTTTGTACTTTTAAATTAATAATGAATTTTGTCTTAATTTAAAAATCATTATCAAGAAGAGAATGACTTTGATGTTATTTTTTTGTTATATTACATATTTCATGCAAAAACCTTTGAGTCCTTTAGAATAATATAAGTATTATTATACTTTTTAACAGGAAAACCTAATGTGGTATGATGTGCAATCCCTTATATATTTCAAAAATAAATGGAGCAAATTCAAGCAAGGATATAGTTTTAAGAAACATGCTTCTACTTACAAATGGCTGTTTAATATTACTTTAGCCCTTTCTAATGTTTTTTATGCTCCCTAATTTATTATTATAACCTCTTTTATTTTCACTACTACCCTGTTAAAGGGAAAAAAGTTATTTCATATTATACACTTTAATATTTTCCAGTTGAAAATGAGGATGAGGCGGAAAGAGTTCTTTTTTCCTATGGCTATGGTGCTAATGTTCCCACAACAGCCAAAAGACGACTGAAGCAAAGGTAAAATCAGTATATATTTATTTTATTTATCTATTTAAGCTAAATGTAATTACATTTGTGCTTTCTGATAGTGTACTGGGTTCAGTGACAAAGTCCTTTATTATTACTATGCAGAAATATCAAATTTCTCACAAAATAAAACAGTAATAATCATGTATTTCATATATAAATAAATTTAATGGTTTGTAGAATAGAAGTGTACGTTAGAATTTCTGTAGAATCAGATTTGATGATAAGGATCTTGTTTTTATTTTCGCATTAATTTCAGATGAGCTACAAATGCTTGTATCAACAATATTCAGATTAAAATTCATTATGCTTCTTTTTTCTTTCTCTCATTTTTATTCACCTGCCTACATTCCTTGACATGCATGTTAGGGAAAGTGATATGGAATTAATGCAAATGTTGTGATTGAAACTATAAAAGGCTTTGTGAAAACCAAGAGAATATTTGGAAGATCTGCTAGTTATCTTGTGAAGTACTACTTCACAAAAGTACAGTCATCCCTCTATATCAATGGGCTTTGCATGTGTGAATTCAAGCAACCACTGACCAAAATATTTGAGAAAATAATGGATGGCTGCATCTATGCTAACCGTGTCCAGACTTTTTCTTGTCATTATTCCTTAACACAGTGCAGTTATTTACATAGCATTTACGTTTTGTTAGGTATTATAAGTAATCTACAGATAATTTAAAGTTTATGGGAGGGTATGCATGGATTATATGCAAATATTATACCGATTGTCTATAAGGTACTTGAACACTCAAGGATTTTGTTATCCACAGGAGGTAGGGAGTGTACACTGGAATCAGTCATTCTGCAGATACCAACAGACAACTGTATACTAACAGGAAATTGTACCTATATTAATCAGATTTCCAGTTGACCTGCCTGATTTTTATTCCTAACTTCTTTTTCTCCAAAATTTATCCTATTTGCAAAAACATCTCACTGCCCAATTCACTACCACATCAAATCCATCAAATCTGAATGTTTCTTTCAGACTTCCAAGTGCCTCCATAATACAGCCCTACCTCTCCAGCCTTATTTGCCTCTCTACCCAAAATGCGGATGGATGTACCTCTCTATTTCTCTGCCTAGAAAACATCTGTTTTCTCTATACCACACTGTAGAGCATTTGTCTTATCTCATTAGGTGTAATTTCCTGTGTAATTTACCTATCTAGATGGAAAGTTCTTCAAAGTCAGCAACTACATCTTTTTTTTTTTCTTGAGACGAGTCTCACTATGTTGCCCAGACCCTGAGTGCAGTGGCACAGTCTAGTCTCACTGCAACCTATCTCCCAGGTTCAAGCAATTCTCCTGTCTCAGTCTCCCAGGTAGCTGGGACTGTAGGCGTACACCACCACACCCAGCTAATTTTTGTATTTTTAGTAGAGACGGGGTTTCACCATGTTGGCCAGGCTGGTCTCAAACTCCTGGCCTCGAGTGATCCACCCTCCTCGGCCCTCCAAAGTGCTAGGAACACAGGAGTGATCCACCACGCCCGGCCTAGCAACTACATCTTTTTTTTTCTGACATATAGTCTCACTGTGTTGCCCAGGCTAGAGGGCAGTGGCACGATCTTGGCTCACTGCAACCTCCACCTCCCAGATTCAAGTGATTCTCCTGTCTCAGCCTCCTGAATAGCTAGGATAACAGGCATGTGCCACCATGCCCAGCTAATTTTTGTATTTTTAGTAGAGACTGGGTTTCACCATATTGGCCAGGCTAGTCTCAAACTCCTGACCTCAAGTGATCTGCCCGCTTTGGCCTCCCAAAGTGCTGGGATTACAGGTGTGAGCCACCATGCCCTGCCAACTGCATCTTATTCTTTTTTATTTTTCACTATCTCAGTACAGAGTACCTAGTAAAATTGTTTCTTCATCTGAGCATTTGAGAATTCAAAGCTGCTTTTTTTTTCACATGAACTGATTTAGACATTTAGAGACATTATACACTAAGAAAAACCATCTTAACTCTGATACTTGCATGGAAATTTTTAAGTGATGACTCAGAAAATAGAATGTCTGTATGGCTGTCTAAAATGATGTATCCTCATTAATATAGTGGTGAATTTTTTTTTAAGGTGATGTAGGATATAGACCACTTTATGAGAAGCAAGGAAGAGATGCCTAGAACTTACGGTTCTTACCAGTTAAATATATGCCAAATTTTGATCAAGGCTGTATGAATAGAAAGTATCAATTTGTAGCTGGAATGTTTAATTCTGTCTGGTGAGGATTCAGATATTTCTAAATAATGTATTATTTTAAAAAATCATTCTCATTCTCATTTTCTCCAAAAGTCACAACAGGTAACCTAGGATATTTTATAATTTTCAGCATATCTTTTTCTGAATCTGATGTTACCTAAGGAAGAATAGAACATAGTTACATGGGTAAGAGATTTATCAGTGGTAAATGATAGGCAAAATACTAAAAATTGAAATTTAAAGGGAGAAGTCACATTCTCGTCTTTATTTTGGCTTCTGAATCTTTCAAAAGAATCTTTGTTACAAGCAAAAACAGGGCCAGATGCGGTGACTCACGCCTCTATTCCCAGCATTTGGGAGGCCAAGGAAGGCAGATTGCTTGAGTCCAGGAGTTTGAGAACAGCCTGGACAACATGATGAAAACCCGTCTCTACAAAAAAATACAAAAATTTAGCCGAACATGGGGATATATGCCTGTAGTCCCAGCTACCGTACCCAGGAGGCTGAGGTGGGAGGATCATCCAGTCCTACATGGTCCAGGCAGCAGTAAACCATGATTGTCCCCCTCCACTTCAGCCTGGGTAACAGTGAGACCGTCTCAAAAAAAAAAAAAAGAAAGAAAGAATTTTAGTGTTAGAAGTTTGCTTTTCTTAGCCCCAAGCGCTGAGTTTTTTCAAAATTGCAAGCAATTATTTCTATTGCATCTTACTATTTTTTTAAGAATTTTGAAAAATAAAGGTTGACTTTTTAATATAAAGTGAAAATTTAAGGAACCACAACTGATTCATATTCTAAATAATGTTAACTGTACAAATATTCTAAAGATTCTATCACTGAGCTATCTATGTGCCTTGAACATGTGCCTAATGGGCATGCTATTAATATCCCCGGCCAGCTGGTGCCAGGCATTCTTCTCATGGTGAGCCAGAGGTTATTTTGAGGAAGTGCTTCTCAGATCATCTAAGCTGAATGACGGGAAAGTAAGGTTAGATATCTAAAGAAAACATTTATGCATTCCTTCATGCATTCAGCAACTTTTATTGAGTGCTTACTGTATGCACAAAATTGTTCAGCGGTACTGAAGATCCCAGTTTAGAGTCTGACACATTTCTGAAGTTTGCAAAGTCCACATTTGAGTTTATAATGGATATTTGTAAAGAAGGCAGTTGGCTTTGTGCTCTTTTTATGTTTATTTGAGATAAAAACAGTATAATTGTTGAGAGAATTATATTTAATCCTTCAAATTTGAAATTAAAGGATTAGAGCCAGACGTAGTGGCATGCACCTGCAATTCCAGCTTCTGGGGAGGCTGAGGCAGAAGGATCACTTGAGACCAGGAGTTTGAAGCTGTAGTACACTGTAATTGCACCTGTGACCAGCCACTGCACTCCAGCCTGGGCAACATAGAGACTCCTCTCGCTCAAAAAAAGAAAAGAAAATCAATGGAAACTTAAGGTGAATGATAACTCAGTCAGAACAGTAAATGAAATCTTTGCAAAATAAAGTTTTCATTGTGCGTCAGCCTATACCAAAATATATTAAAGTTTCCAACCACTACACAATAGATTCCATTCATATTAAATTTGATTTAAAATCTTATATATTCAATAACCAGAATTATATATTTTAGGGTAACATTTAATTGGAGGGAGGTTTTTGATTTATTATAAAAGTATGTCTCTTTTTATTTTTACTTTTTAGAGATGGAGTCTTGCTCTGTTACCCAGGCTGGAGTGCAGTGGCATGATCTCAGCTCACTGCCACCTCCGCCTCCTGGGTTTAAGCAATTCTTCTGCCTCAGCCTCCAGAGTAGCTTGTATTACAGGTGCCTGCGGCCACGCCCAGCTAAATTTTGTATTTTTAGTAGAGACAGAATTTCACCACGTTACCCAAGATGGTCTTAAGTAATCTCGAACTCCTGAGCTCAGGCAATCTGCCTGCCTCATCCTCACAAAGCACTAGGATTACAGGCTTGAGCCACTGCACCCAGCCATGTTTATTTTATAAAATTAGAAAATTACTGGTAATCCTGCCATCCAAAATAACCACTTAGAAATGTATACAGATACATATACTTTCCTACTTATTTAGGATATTATTGCTTGTAACTTAATAGTTTATTATATAGAATTCCATTCTAAACATTTTCTTATGTCATTGGATATTCTTCAGAAATATCATTTTTAATGGTAATCCAAAATGTTAATTTTTAGGACTTCTGTTTTTGAGTGCTATATTTTCATTAATAAATTGTATAGTTACTGAAAAATATTAGTTGCCTATTGGTACCCAGGCAATACCACGGAATTAAAATGAGAAAATGGATGTGAAGTACCTGACCCAGAGTAGATCTTCAGTAAGTGCTAGGTTGTTACACCAATTGATGTGTTCTTAAAGTAAATTACATAGTTAATTTTAGAGGAAAAGCCAGGGTTCTGATCTTTTACTAGGTACAATTTGAGTTTTCATTTAAGACAACATTTTTTTTAAATCGTACAGAAGCCTCTTGAATTAATTAATTGGGTTACCTCCCAAACATGAAACTAGTTTTGAGATTCACTTTCTTTAATATCAGTCCGTTTCTTAAGACATAATATTGTAAATCCAATTTCCTATAAAGTAGTAGCATAATTTTTCTAGTTCGAAAAAAAACTCTTAAAAATGTCTTTTAAACACATCATAAGGTTACTCACATTTTGGGAGTTTCATAGAAATGTGAATAATAACTAAATATTTTATTTTATTTTATTTTTATGAGATAGAATCTCACTCTGTTACCCA